ATTGCAGTAATCCAATCTAGAGGTGACCAAGGCATGGACCACCCCGGCCAGATCAGCCTTCGTGAGGTACGGACGCAGCTGGCGCACAAGTCTCAGTTGTGCAAAAGCCCTTCCGGACACCGCCGACGCCTGAGCCTCAAGCGTGAGCGATGAGTCCAAGAGGACTCCCAAGCTACGGACCTGTGGCTTCAGGGGGAGTGTAACCCCGTCCAACACAGGTAGCCACCCTATACCCCGATCCGGTTTGCGATCGACCAAGCTAGTTGCTCATCACTACTGAGTCGCTTGCTGCCTCGGTATCCTAGATCTCCATCTCTCTCCAAGCTCACTTGCAATGGCGTGACTCCTGGATTTAAAGGAAATGACAGGAGCTCCTCTTCCCTTCTGCTCTCCCTCAGCCCTGACAGGCTGAGAAGAGTATGTGACATACCAGGTTTACCTGTGCCATCCAGTACAGTTTGCTTGCGCTGAAGAACAAGCTGACTGTGACTTAGGAAAACAATGAACTTCTTACGAAATCTCCATAGATGGCTATTTTAATTAATTGGGGGGGGGGGGGGGACATGGCACTGACTTCGTAACATGGGTCATAAGTATGCATTTGCTTAATCACTTATGACCCACGTCTGGAATTTTGCACAGCTATAAGAAGCACATGGCAAACACTGCAAAAGTAATTTACTTTTGTTCTTTCATTCACCTTAGTTCCTAGTACTTTTATTGCTTCAATTTCTTTTAAAAAATCATTCAAAACATTAACTATAGACAGATCAAGCCAGGTAGAGCCATCCCACATAATCTGATTTTTCCACATTGTCAATTTTCCAAACTTGTCTTGCAAAAGCAAAGAAAACCTAAAACATAATTCTTACAGTATGTCATTTTCATAGGTTATGCAAACTTAGCATGCCATTATTCCAAATTCAGGATTGTTTAGAACTGTTGTGTCCTAGGCAGCTCTGTTCTTTTTTTTCACTTTAAAGTTATAATCTTAAGCATCTCTTTTCTGAACGTATTTATAGCAGTGCTCATCCCAAACCAGTAACACCAGTGCCTTTGATGTACCTGCTGCTTTACACCATTTCACAGGCATATGTGCAAACTTCTCAACCTTAAAATGAAAAAAAAATAAGAAAACAAAGGAGGGAGAGAATGAAGAGGGAAAATCCTGTAGGTGCTGGAGTGACATAATTGATGGAATGTGATAAGAAAAGTGAGAGGTAGAAGAGGGAAGAAAGATAAAGCCAAGGCTGCATACCTGGTCAACTAGAAATGCTATTTGCATATATAGAAGAGTAGCCAGATCTGGAATGCAATGTGGGGAGTAAAGATAACAAGTTGTTTGTGTTGAGTTCACACATCAATTAGACATTCATGTTATCAGACTAATAGGTAGAAGGGGAGAGGTTTTGGCTCTGAGATACATAGCTCCTGTTTACCTTGCCTCCTTTGGGTGGCATTTTGGAGAATTTAGAGACATCCAAATTTACACGTTACACAGACCTTTGCCTGATTGCACCACCTCATTACACATATAGAGTTTGCTCCTATGTGAAAGGATCCTTGTGCCTTTCACATGAAATATGAAAGTAGCTATTCTATACAATAGGAAGTGAGTGGTTTCTAGATTTATATGACATCAGTCAGTAGATGAAGACATTTTAAAATGTTCCTGATTTTCCCACTGAATGAAACTAGTGTACAGTATACAAGAAGAGAACTCTGAAAAAGTTTCAGTAACTTCATATATTAAATTGCTATAAGCCTGGAGTATTTGTGAAATATCTTTTTAAAAAATAGTTCTGCATATGCACCTGCAATCTAGGGTAGTGCAATTCTAAAACTCTGCCAACTCGCCTTTCTGTATCATTCTCCACAATTTATAAAATTACTCTAACATTTTTTTAAAAGCTTAACACGGTTATTTTCAATCACATTTGCCATCACATGATGGATTTTGCCACTTGTATATATTTCAGTGATTCTCAACCTGTAGTTCCCCAGATGTTTTGGCCTTCAACTCCCAGAAACAGCTGGTAAACTGGCTGGGATTTCTGGGAGGTGTAGGCCAAAACACCTGGGGACCTACAGGTTAAGAGCCCTGTATTACATGGACAATGGTTTTGTTTGAAATTGTTATCTTTTTGCTTTATTTTACTATTTGGGTCATTACCTTTGTATGTGACCCAGGGATCTGTGAAGATGAAAGATGTTCTAAGTATATTTTAAATGAAACAATGTTAACATTGAAATAAGCTAGTAGATGGTGCTTGTTTAACATGTAATGCTGTTCCTTAAGAGGAAGGAAGACATGTTACTATAAGGTCCAGTTCAATTGTACAATTAAATAGGAGGTTTAATTGGAAATCCACTGGATGACATTCAGCAACTCACACATTCTGAAGGGCAATAGCAACCCAATACAAAGGTTGCTGAGAAAACTCAGTGCTATATTGTTTACCTTAGGGTCACCATAAATCAGAAATCTAAAGGCATAATAAGAAATCTGATTGTAAATACATGAACTATTTAATGTATTGTCTATAATGCCTTTGAAAACAATATAGAAACTTCATAAATCAAAAACATTCCTTCATAGTTGCTAACTAGAACTGGGAGGAGTCACCGGTGGTGCAGTGGGTTAAACCCTTGTGCCGACAGGACTGAAGACTGACAGGTCAGAATTTGGGGAAAGTGTGGATGAGCTCCCTCTATCAGGTCCAGCTCCCCCATGCGGGGACATGAGAGAAGCCTCCCACAAGGATGGTAAAAACATCAAAAAATCCAGACATTCCCTGGGTAACGTCCTTGCAGACAGCCAATTTTTTAAACATTTTTTCTTTTATTTGATACATCCCAACAATCAACAAAATTTTGCCATACAGGACTTATTTCAATATACATTATTCCCTTGCAGACAGCCAATTATCTCGCACCAGAAGTGACTTGCATTTTTTCAAGTCGCTCCTGACATGAAAAAAAAAAACTAGAACTGGACATTTTGACCATAGCATCCTAATGCTTTGTGAGGGCTGCTATCTTCCAGGTCAATTCAAAGAGCTTGTATTAAACTTTAAAATCTTGAAGAACTCAGGATCATGATCCCCAAAGAGAGCGTCCTCCCAGATCTTCCTATCCAGGTCTAGAAGTCCTCTTTGGAGGTCCTTCACCAAGCACCACTGCCGGGCACATAATACTATATTACGATGGCCATTATCTCCATGGACATTATCACTAGCCATACTAGTTGAGGAATTCGGAAGACTATACTCCCAAAAAGTAATTTTTACATGCTCTGCTACTTTTTGACAAAAAATATTTCTTTCTTTTCCTCCCTTAAGTTTAAGGAGCTGTTTTAGAGGTTTTTTAATTACTATGGAGAGTTGGGCTGTTATGGTTCATGAAAAAAATCTGTTTTCAGTGCTCTTGGTTAAGTTTTTGTTGTGTTTCTTATGCTACAACTACTTTTGTATTGTTTTCCACACATTTTAGCATATTTTATGTACACCACTTCCAGAACCTCAGTTATATGTTAGCCACCCTGAGTCCCTCCTCTGAGGTGAGAAGAACGATACAAATGTTCAAAATAAATAAATAAATAAATAAATAAATATTAACAATATCTCATCTCCATTAGTTACTTTCAGCTGCAAGCCTATTCCAGTTGGATGGCCTCCAGAGATACTGTGAAATACTATGCTCTCAGACTATCAGCATCGAAAGCTGTGTTAACATCTATAAGTATGCCAAGGTAAAGACCAAATCATCTTCAATTGTTTCAAGTTCTTAAGGTGTTGACAAACATAACAACTCCTGCTAGATCAGACCAAGGATTATTTCAGTTATGTGCTCAGCTTCCAAACAGTTTCTGGCAATGAGTAATCCATGCTCCTTCCTGAAGTTTTGTCACCACCCTTGCTTCCTCCATTTCAAGATCCTTGCATCATGGAAAAGAGACAGATAGTAGTATTCATGATATTTTCTCTAGCAAATACTTTTAGGAGCCTTACACAGCTCCAAAGTGAAAGGCTTGCCTCACTGGCAAGGAAAGGGAGAGAGAGTCTTTAATAATGTTAATGAGTGCTTGTAAAAAGCACAAACTTTGGGGATCCTAAAATGCAATACATCTGCATCCCTCAGCCATACCCATGATGCACTCCATTCATGTACTGATTCCTCTGCCCCCTTTTTGAGGTTGAAGGACAACGAGGAGGGAACATATTGCCAGTAGCTATGCCTCACATGGACATGGTGTCCACTAGCAGCTTGCTACTTTGAGATGGCTAGATTCATCAATCCATGAAGCCACCTTTAGCATCAATAACTTTGATAGAAATGGAAAGCTACAAGCTCTTGAGATAGGTAAATCTGAATCTGGACTATACCACCTGAAACTGCAAGTGGATTCTCCTATGATCAGCTGGTTCTCAAAATAAGAGAAATTGTTACACACAGAAAATTGGAATTGCCAGAAGAAAGTTCAATTCAAGAGTTCTCTTTGACATATCAGTTCTGCTATGCATAGAAGTCTAATTTCAGTTTGTGTCTTCAAGTCATTTCCAATTTATGGCAATCCTAAAGCAAACCTATCACAGGGTTTTATGGGGATGAAAATGTGTGACTCACCCAAGGTCTCACAGTGGTTTCCATGGCTGATTGGGGAATTGAACCTTGCACTCCAGAATCATTATCCATTGCTCAAACCACTACCCCAGAGGTTCTCAACCTGTGGGTCCCCAGGTGTTTTGGTCTACAACTCCCAGAAATCCCAGTCAGTTTACCAGCTGTTAGGATTTCTGGGAGTTGAAGGGAAAACATCTGAGGACCCACAGATTGAAAACCACTGCACTACACCAAACTGGCTCTCAGATAGATAGATGGATATGGAACATTGTGTGCTCTGCTCTGCCATATGGTAGTTAAGACATAGGCTTTCCACTTTATCTGCCACTTAAGATAATTAAAATTTGTATTTATTTATCTCCTTTTCTTCAAACAGGAAGATAATAAAGGACATAACCTTGAGAGAATACATAGTTTAGCAACTGAACTGCCATACTTTAGTAATATTGTGATTTCACACTTTGTCCTAGCAGCAAATAATGCTATCAGATTAGAACAAACTAACTGATAGGTCAGAGTTTCATCACAAACAAAAATTTGTGTCATGATGGATCTCTCCATGATATGTCAAAATTCAGTCGGAGGAGATTTTCCATCATTATCATTGCATCTCCTGCTTGTGGGAGTGTGACCAGTTGAATGTCTCCCTAGTTGGTGGAAGTTGCAATTGTAGAGCCCACAGATCTATATTCCACTGTTAACTTTTAAAAATATTTTTGGAAAATGTTTCTATTGATTTCTGTAACAGTCCAGTGAATTCTAAAAAAACAAACTCTAAAAGCCCAGTCTCTTTCAAAACAACAACAAACTACCTTGAAGTAGATCCTCTGTGTTTCATTAAATCCCCCTCCTTCTTTTTTCCCTGAGGCTTATTTCATATGCACTGAATTTGTTAGGACGCTAATACTGTGTACCATCTGGTAACTCTCATTATTCTGTCACGGTGTGCCACATGGATTGCACCCTCACATAACAAAACAGGTATCATCTAGGCGATTTCATTGACCAGCTGCTCTTTTGCTTGAAGAGTTACTTGACTTTGGCTCAACAAGCAGCAGGAGATCACAAAAGGATTAGGAAGAAGGGACTTTTTAACCTCTTTCACATATCCCAATGGAACGGCCCTGTAGGCACACGAGTGCAGAGGGCAGAAAGCCTGCTTTAACCACCGGATTAATATCCTCTTAACCATTTGCAATCCATTTTAAACCCTCCCATACAATGAAGCTGTCCAAGCGAGGAGAGAGAGGTAGAAAATTGACAGCTGCATTTAAACAACAACAAAAACCCCTCTTGCTTGACCGGATCCCACTTTGTGTCTTGCAGATCCACAATGCCCCAGAGCTGGTCTCTTTTTGTGAAGGCTTCTTCCTCAAGCACATGAACTGCCTGCTGGAGCAGGAGCCTTTTAAGCAACTCATCTATGGTAGGAACAGTAAAGTCCAAGGCCTGGATCTTCTACAGGACCTTCAATCTACATTGGCCAGCAGACTTCAATCCATTTACATCACCTCCAGGGTGTGATTGCCAAGAGGAATTACAGACACCCCGCAGGGGGAATCTGGGGATTGTATTCAAAGCACCTGCTCCTCTGAACTGCACTGAAATGGGAACTTCCCTAAGTGGTCTTCTCCTTCCGGAGAGAAGAGACACTAGCTTGAGTTTGACACTCCTCCAGCACCTCAACTACCCACAAAACAGTAGATGTGTTAAGATGCTGCAACTATTTTGCCCTAGTGCTAATGGGAAGGGAAAGAAGAATGGTGCTATATGGCTTGAGTGATGCCATCTCACATGAAAACTTTGGGAATGGGGAAACTATAGTGTCCAAAAGATTTTTTAAAAACCTGCACACAAACCATCATTATTAATCACCATACTGATGGAAAGAAAATAAGATTCCTAGAATTGGTTATGGTTATTTAGGATCATCTAGTAACTAGAAGATATGTTGTTTGTTTACAGAGCTTGGAAACATCCAACAAACATTTAATTCACTAAAACTAAATGTGTTAGTGAAAACTGTGATTGGTTACATTAATATACTATTAATACATTAGTAAAATCTTAACTTCAGTGTTTTCAAAAACCAACTAAAATTATTTTAAATATTGAGGAAGAAACCCAAATTGTCACCCCTGTGACCTGGCTAAATTTTGTGAAGCATTACTAGTTTCTTAGCCCATTGGCATTGTTATCATTTAAAGATTTCAAGCAGTGGTACCCACCCTTTTGTCCTCCAGGTGTTTGGGACTCCAGCTCCCAGAAGCCCTGGTCAGAGTTGTCTGATGCTCAGAAATTCTCGAAGCTGAAGACCAGAATACCCGGTGGACCAAAAGTTGGACACCTCTGATTTAAACTCTTTCAATTAGGAGTAATTTCAATACATTTTTTCCGAGCTCTGCTGTATAACACTAGGTACTAGTTTTATATATGCAAACAACTTGACACATCCCAGATTGCCACATTATAAACCAATCTGGCATTGTTGTCCTAAACCCAGGCTTGGTTAGCGGTGGTGCAGTTGAAACAAATGCCTCAGGAATCATGGTGGCTAGGGTCCCCATAATGCTCCTGACTATACATACACGTGCATATCTTGTACTGTGTGCTGTTGGAGAAAGAAATACTCCTGTGGAAGAATAGATCTCTCCCTTGCTGACAGGGTCAACAGCATTCACCACCCATCCGAGACCCCTTCCCCAGCCGTGAGCTGCCTGAAGAGATTGTTAGCATGTTTGTGAAATGAGTCTAAGCTGGCCAGGACAAAGACAGAAGCTGCCCAAAGCTTTCCTCTCTATCATCTTGATCATGGGCAGTTCTGGGCCTGGCTCTTCTTCACCAGCAGTGCCACCAAACTTAATCCCATGCCATGCAAAACCAGTTCTTCAATGTGGGATCCAGGACATCCACCACACTACAGTCTTTTTCCTGAGCTTTTTACCCCTTAAAGACTCACAAGACTGTTAGAAGGACTAAGGTTGTGAGCCACTCTTGCCTTAACTCTAGCCTTAACCATGGGGCTGGCATCCAGACAGAAATGCATAAGATAGTGTTGTAAGGCTGCTTTCAAAATGTGCCACCAAACTGAGATTCTTGATTACATTGCATTCCTTTTTAGTTGCAGCCCTTAAAAAACAGGTTAAAGACAAACCAAGCAAACTCTGACACTGTCCAGGTTATTCTGGTTGTGACCTTAACACTGTGGTACCTGCAACATTAGCTATGCCAAGAACAGAAGTTGCACAAGTTGTTGCACAAACACTGTTTGCATTAAGAGCTCAAGGCTGTTTTGTCCTATGCTGTATTTAAGCAATAATTCTCTGAAATTTCTGACACTGTGCTTCCAATATAGACCATTGTGCTGCTGAGGATTATGGACACTGAACATGATGGCACAGAGTCACAGATACTCCAGCTAAGGAAATGAATGCACATAAACAAGCTTGTATTGTGCATATCATTTGTTGGCGTGGAGGCTGCAGGCATCAATCAGAGGCACATTTAAAATGGAGATGCAGGCAATCTGGACTGCATTTGATTGAATGTGGGAGGGGGCCGCGCTTCTCATATGCATTCAAATGTGTTTTCTTCACCAGGCTTATTGTTTACATGACAACAGTTTGTGTGTGACTGTGACTAAACTGGATTTCAACCAGAATAATTCCGTCTGTACTGAAATTAGATTGTAGCTTTCAGAAGAAAACTCCTTCCTTTTTTGAATGCCCAACATTTTTCTACAGGCCACTCTTTCATTCCCAACTGGAAGAGAATGTAGGAAAAATATTTAAAAACATATGCGTCACGTCATCCACAGCAAGTGCTCGAGGGAAAAATACTTCTACTGTGAAAGATGGTGGTTGTAAATTTAATAAAGGAGGAAAGGATGGAGGAGAGAAAGATAAAGGAATCATGGAAGAAATGTGTTTTGCAAGGGTATTTGTTGAATTTCAGGGAGGATCTTGAAAGTGTGATAGAAATGACACAAATATCCATATTGAAAGCCAAAAAGCAAAAGAACTTTTCCACCATTGTGTCTTTCCTCCCAAAAAATCAAAGTCTGTAAACCAATGGTGGGTTTCATGTGGCTTTACATGTTATTGGATGGCATCTCCCATCATTCCTCATCATTAGCTTTGATGGTAAGAACTGCATCATCGTGATTCTCACTCTGCTGCTCTTGCCATGCGCTGAAGGGCTGTCGCATTTTATTTTTAACAGGTCATAGGGAAGAAAAAAGCAGTGCCATCTTGGAAAATAATCAAAAGTTCATTAGATTGGCTGAACCCACACAAAGGAAGGCAACTTTCTCAGGGAATTGGCCTCCTTTCCTGTATGTGAACTTTGGCAGAATTCCACCTCTTTGCATAATACACCAAAGTTACAGGCTACAGAATTATCATAATGCCAACGTAAAAACATTCAGCCCTCTCCTTTTCCCCAAAACAAAACAAAAACAAAAAAAACGGAACACACTCAGAAAAACTGCGCTTGCACAGTAGCTGAATATGTGAATTATCAAGTGAGGAGATAAGATGTACACATTTCAATCACATGCTTCTTAAATTTGGATCTGAAACATAAGCATGACGCTATGTTCTCAGGCTCTAGAAACATAGGATAGGATTTTGATGAGTTTATTTAGAAGGACCCCAAGAGTATGTAATAATTCTGGTAAATAATTTTCAAATAGCTGCTCCAGCTATCTGTACAAAAGCAAAAGAAATGAGTTCTGTTGTATTGCTGTAATATTGCTTGCTACATTAACTGTACATTAAGGTTGCTTATGTAAATGTACCATATTTTATTAACAACATAACTTTGATAAACTTTACAGATGATATAAGCCTATTTATTTTAGCAGACATGAAACAGGCTGTTAGTGCATTCTGGCCTCCCTCTGTGTGCCTGTGCCTTCAAGTTGCCTGTCAACATATGGCAACCCCATGAATTTCATAGTTTTTTCATAGGCAGTGAATGCTCAGAAGTTGGTTTCCTCTGGAATGGAGCCGACAGCACCTGGTATCAGTTGGCAGTCTCCTATACAAGTACTAACCAGGACTGGCCCTGCTTGGCTTCCATGACCAGACACCTTTAGTGTATTTAGGCCTTCTGATTTAATTAAGGACCTAATACCAGTCCACATTTTAGGAAGAGTGCTCTTCTCCAGTTTCTGTATCTAAGTAGGACTGTATGAACACTGAAGAATGCAGACAAAAGTGCTGCCTTTTAACCATTAAAAATGGTGGTGTAAAACCCTAAGGGGTTTTTTTTTAGTTTTTGGCTTAGTGGCCAATGTAGAAAAAATAACTTTTAAAAAGGAGTATGTAAAATATTTACATTTGTACAAGTACTTGATGTTGCTATTAAAATCACTGGTTTTCAAATGCTGAATGCTTAACACCAGTTCCTGGGGCAGAAGAAGTGTCCTACCTACTGCTTTGAAAATCCAGAAGTGTTCCATAATTTTTCCCAGCTTACATTTGCACCTGCAGCTAACCAGCTCCTATTATCTCTTCAATGTCTTTAGAACAAGTAGAACAGCAGTTATTTCCGATGTGGAAAGTCTGTCCACTGCCTGTAAACATCTTGCTCACCCTATTGAAGAGAAACCTCTGAATGTTGTCCTGTTTCACAGCCCTAAAAGTCCTGTCTCTTGTAGGACAAAGCATCCTTGCAGGAATGCATCCTAAATCAGAAATTATCATAGAATCATCCTGAATGATCTCGAACAGGCATGGGCAAACTTTGACCCTCCAGGTGTTTTCAACTTCAACTCTCACAATTCCTAACAGCCTAGGACTTGTGGGAGTTAAAGTCCAAAACACCAGAAGGGCCAAAGTTTGCTCTTGTCTGATCTAGAAAATTCCTAGTGAGAGATCCACTCTTTAAGAATTTTCTATGGTGACTGGGTAGCATCCAGCAGAAACATACCATAGAATCACCTGGAGGACCTAGAAAAATTCAAAATAGAGCATATTTTGATCACCTGGAGGACCTAGAAAAGTCCAAAATAGGGCATATTTTATTAGATATGGGTAGATGAAACCATGGATACAAAGGTATGGGATGAGTCATACTATATTACAAGGCAAAAGACACTATTTTCCCACTCTGTAGTGATGGTTTGGTTTAGGGCTACACAAAAAGTAACCCCTGGAATTAAAAAAAAAGTTGCTGTTAGGAACGAGTGTAAGGCATAAAACACATGGAGAGGAATGTGGAGACATGCAAAAAACTGTGTAAATGGGTTGAATTTTATTTAGTTTGTATACCGCAGAAATTGACAATCCCTATTTATCTTTTAGAAATCAACTCCTTATTTTTATAGCAGCAAGTGCTATTTAGAAAGCATCTACCAAAGCTCGGGGTGGGCTTGTTACTCTCTCCTGGGTGTGCATGTGTCTCTTTGGATTGTGGTCATTATCTGTCCTTCTCCTGCTCCTGTTGCGGCTGCTGACAGTTGTCTCAGCTTCCCGTGTCGTCATTCATTGCTCTGAGATGAATGCACACTGCATTCTCCTGGGGCCTTGGCTGAAGGCACAGCGGCAGCTACTAAATGAGCTTCCACTGCCATGCACATCATCCCCTAGGAAACCCCCTCCACTAGGCC